TCTTTAATATTTGCTCTATTATTTAGAACTCAGATGGTTTTGCGTATCAGTGTATTATTTGTCAATCATTAAACATCTCAAAACAGTTGAGAAAATATGTGCACCCCGAATGGTCAAAAAACCTTTCGTTTATTGCTCAGGTAAACCCATAGAAAACTGACGTTTATATTATAAAAGCAAAAGATGTTAAACCGACGTGATGACCCTATCAGGAAGCTGGGAGAATAGTCAAGTTTAGCATGGACTGTTTGCCAATCACTCACGCCCATCTCGTGATATATAAACCTTAGTTGAACGTTCTCCCAAAATTCAAAGTAGATGATTTCGCCCTTTAACAAGTAGAATATAGGGTCAATTGCTTGAATTAATGATAATTAGTACGCACAACATTTCTGTGTTTTCACTGATGTCATAGGAAAGTAAAAAATAACGAAAGCATTTTAGTTGATCTATTCCAGTGGAGTCTTGGGTTCAAATAGTTTATTCAGAATGATAAAGGAACAATGATGTAGTTTAGCCAGTTGGGTTATCAAATGCCAAAATAAATGGGTCAAACAAATTATGACCCATACTGTATTATAACTTAATAAGTTCTTTGGTGAAAGAAAGAGAGGGGAACTTGATCGATCACCATTTCGAAAATGTTTATACTGAGACTAACCCCCATCGTTTGGCGTTAGAAGGACTTTTTTTCCACACTCTGGTTGTTTTCTTTATAGGGTCAGTGATTGTAGGGTGTGTGTACAAGGATCTTCATGAATTACTGCTGAGAAATCAATCCACTGGAAAAGAAACTAACACTTCTAGGTAACGTTAAACGATGAAATAGTTGCGACTTGGTTCGTGCTTAGCGTGCATGTATTGAATTATACAGCATGCCATATCAAATTTAACCAACCAAATAAGGAGAAGCCTATTAAGAGGTATGATAAGAACCTTAACAATGAAAAAAGAAGGCGATGACTAAAGTCCATTTTGAAGCTTATTTGAAGAAATTTATCTATCACACAATAAACTCTCAAAGTCAAATAAAAAAGTTAGTTTTTATCATCACCGTTTTACATCGGAGATAAAAATGACATAAAGTGTGCTTCTACATCATGCAGTTGCATGTAAATGCAATGTGATGCTTGCAAAACTTGATGGCATAGGAAAACATTTTCTCTGCAGGTATGTTAACACCAGAATAATGACGGCAGCGATGAATCCCAAACCTGAAAAATTACGACGAGATGCCATCTTGAAGTTCAGAAACCTTCAGGTAACAGCAAAAACACTGAAAGATGAGCGCGTTCCATCTGTGTCATGTTGGATCGATTTACTAGAAATACGTGTAAACTATATTTTCAGGTCGTTAAAGAAGAACAACACTGCATGTTTTGGAGTGGTTTCAAAAATAGGTAAAAACAAAGATATTGTTAAATATGCTTTGGAACTCCATCTTTTTTGGGTTTAGTCCAAAGTTGAGTGTAGAAACCGGAGATTATCAGTCAAACCCTCATTTGCGAGGTCAGCGGTAAAAGCCTTATGGCTTTTTGCTGTAAAAATATTGCCCAGCCGGCAAAATGAAATATATGCACGAATAATGGCATGGAAGGTAATGACGTACTCGGTAATCCGTGTAATCGT